CTACCCTTTGCGATGTTTATCTGCGTGTCAGGATAAGGAAGCCAGCCTTCGTCCTGGATAAGCTTATCGGAGTCATCGATAGGGCGGGTTGTCAAGCCAAAGCCTAATTGCTATTCCTATAGTATACAGGAGTGGCACTTTATTTCCCATCTCATAAGCATTGTAGGGTCGAAAAGTTTGGAAGGTCTCTAAATCATCCAAAAGGGAACACGCATCCCTTCATCGTGTTTTCTGATTGATAAGACTCTGAACATTCTCAGATAAGACCATTTCGCAAAAAATGAAACGAGGTCCTGTGTAAAAAAAATCAAAAGTGCAAGCACTCACAACAGCAGGGTTTTATAGGAAAGCAAACAGGGTTTTTGTGGAAGTTACGGGCAATAGTTTAATGCGTTGGTGTCGTCGTTGCCGGCGCAAAAATTTGGAAAAAAGTTCAATCAAAAAGCACACTGATAGGCGTGCTGAAGCATTGATCCAATTCCATCTTTTAAAACAGTCCACAGTGGGACACCGAGCAGGGCAGTGCTCTACAACACAACGCCAAGTTCGTTTAAGTGTGATGCCGACGCCAAATGCCCGAATTAATTACCAAAAAGGAATGGTTGCCTTGCTCTCCAGATCACAACTCACTCAACTACTCCTTATGGTCCATTATATAGTTGAGAACCTGTCGGGTTCCACTCCCACTTAAGAGTCATGAAAGCAAGACTGAAAAATAGCATAAAAAAATTAAGGAGGTACACCTGCGTGACACATGCAAGAAATCGAGAGCAGACTTTGAGCCTTTACACGTGCTAATGAGGGGATATCTAGAAATGTGATTGTAGCTTGTTATTGTACATGATGTTAGCAAACCTGTATATGATTTCATTATTATTCTCAATTTAGAGGATTTATTGCAACGAATGGACGCCAATGATTTTAGGACACCCTATATAAAGCGCTAAGTGGTTGTGTGTGTGTTTGTGGATGTGTGATGAGAACTTCAGAACTTTGTTCCCGCAGACGTAAAGCGTGGAAATTGGGTAGGAGTACAGGCTGCAGTAGGGAGAATACGGGTGACAGGAGTAGAGTGTGCCCGCAAGGACCGGAGCGTAAGCGGAAATCGCTTGTCTGGAACTGAGACGTTCAAATTTAGTACTTGTACGGCAGCAGTATGGGAACCCTTATAGTGGGTATTAAACTAGACTCCGTCTAAATAAATTAGAGCGTGCGCGTGTTTTCCGGAACGCGCTACTTGTATTTGTTGATTTGTTTGTGTGCGTGTGTATGCTCCACCTGAATCATATCTGCTACTTCCTCGACCTAGAGCGTTCAAATTTAGTAGGAGTATAGCCGGCATGGTGACAACACCGACCATAGGCGGTAAGAGTTGACTTCGTTGACAAGGAGCTAGGCTTCCGTGAGAATTTCTAACTGGGTCTAGGGTAGATCTAAGACGATCAAATTTGATAGGGCTACCAGACAACAGAACTGAATTCCGATAGTACGCACGACTGAACTCCTCTACTTGGGCAGAGCGTCGGTGAAAATCGTCAATTTGCACGTGGGCGCTCGCATTCGGGCTGGGACAGGCGGCAAGATTGGAAAACTGATTTTAACTGCCAGAAAGCTGAATGAATGAATCCCGCTCGCGAGGGGCATAGGGGGAGGAAGGTAGGGTATGTGTGACATGAGCGTAATCTGAGTAAACTTGCGCAGTCAGACTGGGATGAGTGGGACCAAGATACTTAAATACAAGTGACTTGAGCAGGACTCCGTTCAGACAGGCGAGGCAGGCAGGAAGTGTGTCGGTGTGTGCCTAAGTGTATTTGATGGAAACTCAATTATTGTTGTTCTCCTAAGTCAAAGCGTTCAGATGTGGAACTGGTACAGGCGGCAGAACAACTTGACACGAAAAAAGGAAAGCCCGGTTTTTTCATGGCGATCCGAGCGGTGGCGTTATAAGCTATGGGATAAAATATAATAAACCAGCTTAAGTTTGAGGAGCTGAGTCGGGGTCCTGCCTCCTACAAACATCTGAAATTATGAAGTACCCTTACTTAAGTAGCATTAAATTGTACATTGAAGAGATTCGCACTCTCATTATGCAGTTCAGCCCTAGTTCTACAAGAATAAGAAAGTGCTCCCTGTCAATGTGCACATACGCTATATTTTTGATTTCTCAAAAATGGTCACCCAATACAGCTGATGATGGGTCTAATTTTGTAGTCACTAGCATTAAAGTGACTTTTCACCTCCGTTGGACAACTTAACCGTCTTGAACAGGCGGCGTAGAAAACTGGGCACGAGGGTGTACCCAACTTTAATCTTTTAATAGACATTCTATCTAATTTTGCTGTCTTTCTAATGGATACCCACAAAGCATTCAACTCGTGACATTGTGTGAGGAACGCCTTCTCCGTAGGATGACTGTATACAGAACCATCATCAAGGTGGAGCACGGTGATTTCAAGATCCATTGAACGAGGTAGAACCAGGACTTCCCCTCACTTGTCATTTACGGAAAAGCGGTACTCACCACCTGCTACGCGTTTTTGTACCTCTCGCAATCCATCCCACTCGTCATGTTTGAGAACCTTTCGCCACCATATCTTTTGAAATATTTAGATGCTCCGCATGGAAGAAATCGAAATTTTATGTATTTACTGGGCGAAGGCTGATTTCGCGGAGTGTTCACTTGTTGAGTCGTCCTAGCTACGCAGCGGTGATTTGTATCAAAGTTAACCTTATTGCTGGAGTCATTTTCGTGATGCTCGCTCCTCA